TATATAAATAATAAAAAATTTATTAAAAATAAATAGCGCGTATGAAAAATAAAGAAAGTTAAACGAATCCCTTTGATGGCGCGAAAGAAATTAACAATCTCCAGTTTAATGCTTCTCGTTACTCTCGTGTACTTTCTCGCGGAATGAATGACCTTAAATCCCGCGTTCGTGGGAGCTCCCGTTCGAGTGGGCGGTGAATGTTGTATTCTTTGGTGTTAGTGGAGGCCGCGCGACGACCTTTCAACCGCACCCAGCTTGAGTCGCTGTCAAGACCCATCAAGGAAATTGACACGACCAGTTCCTCAGGATATGATCCGCACAAGCAATATCAAATCAAGTCAAGCTTCTTACATTTTGCTCGCTTGTGTTAAAAAAAAATATATCTCCGGAGAGTCGCACATATTTCATGTGGGCGTGAAATTAATCGAATCCAACTGACTATTACTATCGTAATTACAGCGTGTGAAGAAAAAAATCTCCTGACGAATGATAAGCGTTGATAATCGGCATATAACGAAATCGTCTGTGTTTATCGTTTGCGCGTAATGCGTATGCTGATAATGGGGACGGACGAGCGCGTTTCTACAGGATTATATCGAGAGGATTAAACGACAGAACACGAGGCGCGGACGACACGTTTGACCGAAATGCAAATTCGGTCGCGTCGAATTAAACCGACTGTCCTGTAGGCGCCAGTCGCGTTCGATGCGCGACGCGAGGGCGTCAATCACGAATGCACGAAACGTGTTTTTAAACGCGATTGACGTCAAACGATACGCATAAACCTTCAGAAATTTACCGAACAATACATCGTACGATATCGCACTTCCCCGCATTCTTTGCATTAATACTAGAATCTTCATACCGTTAGAACTGCCGAAAATGTGAATTTCGTAATTTCCTATCCTTGATTTTGGAAATTGATTTTTAATGAAAAGTTATTTTAGTATATTATAGTACATAGTATTGTGTATCGTTAGAATTATTTATATTATATGCACAATATCCTGGTATTCTATATTTAATACAAAAAAGAAACAATGCAACCATTAGCGAAGTCAAAATGACACTATCGGCGGTTCTAATGTTGAAACTCGGCCAGCACACTTTAAATATACTTTGTTTGTCTTACTTGTTTATCTTACTTATTCTCTTGGTACGTGCCGTATAAATAAAGAATAATAAAATATTAATAATAAATTTAAAGTGTTATCTTCTTTGGCAAAAAAAGATATAAATTTCACAAGTGAATAGCGTAGCTATAACAATCCGGTTAATCTTAACACGAATCATTCGTTATTCATTATATTCATTATTCACGTGGCACGACTTTCTGTTAAATTATGTCGTTGCAAAAAAGAATAAATTAAACTCGAAGAAGTTCACGACATTAACTTTTAATGTAATAAATAACAATACGAGGAAAATCTGAATTCGCCAAATGGTCCATATTTAAGGATTTTGTACTCGGCGGCAACAAATTTTGGTGGATTTACTCCATTATTTACAGCGGACACAATTGACGGCCGTCGTTGGGACATAGGCATTCGTATTTGTCTTCGTGGGGACACGGAGACGAGATCTAGTCGGAAAAGAAATATAACCCGGCGTCGAAGCCGGAGGATTCTCACGCACGAGAGAGAAATGGTGACGGAAGGTCACGGTGCATCTGCGACAAGGCGAACTTCGCTCTCCCGGGACGGCTCCAAAAAGTATGCACATACGAAAGCCGCTCTATTTACGAGAAAAACGGAATGAGCAAAAAGATGCTCTTTCCCATGCACAGAAAAGCAAGATAAAATTATTTCCATATGGTTATTAACATCGTCGTTCACGAGATAAAAAAATACTTATTTCGCAGATGAGAAAGCTATATTTATATAGAAAGAAAAGAAGAAGAGAAGGATATTTTGTTGAAGTATCTAAAGATTTAATTAGCTCTGAAAATAATTTTGTTTGGACCAAAATAATTGTGTAGGAAAATAATATGTAGGACGTTCAAATTGGTTGCTAAAAATATTAAAATTTTCTGCTGCATTGTTACTAATGCTTCAGCATTCTATGCATAATTATTTTGATAATCAACGAAATTATTTTCAAATCTGTATATCTAACTACATTTTTAGATACTTAAAAAGTTATAACTTCCATAAAACTGTGCTGTTTGTTTAAGAAAAGAACAATCCGCGAAATCCAGTGACTTTTTTAAATCTTGCTTCCAATTTTAAATTTGAGAGTTAAGACAAAGCAAAAATATCACATTTTTAGTTGGGAATAATTCAATAAGATTCTGTGGAAAGTATATTTCGGAATACGAAATATTGATGAATCGCAGAGTGGCGACGTTTTCTGAAATGTTAGCATCGGGACGCGGTGGCATCTTCGAGAATAGATAGAATCCGCACGTCAGTTAGCAGCTGCCAAGTTGAGAGAACTTACGTTCTGACTTCGCGAACGTACGCTCTCAATTAAATACCGTCATTTTGGAATCTCTGACAAGCGCCAGGAATAAGCGCACGTTCCCTTAGAGAGATTTTGCGGTCGCGTCTGTCCAAGTCCATCCTAGAATGAGGCAACTTAATTCTGACCTGTTCAGAGAAATTTCCTGACTTACTCAAATCTTTCATTGTTATTTCTGACGTGATTGATTCTACTTGTATTATAAAGCTATTCGAAAAAAATATTTTATTGTTAATGAAGTTTCGAATCTCTGTGACAAACAAAGAAAATCTCAAATTCCTTTCAAATGAATAAAACGCGTTCTACTAAAAATTTCTCATAAAATTGTTCAACGTTGTTGCACGGAAAAAATAATTTTGTTAAAATTTATCTAAAGTTATCTAAAAATTTAACTAGATACGTATCTGAAAATTTGTTGGACAAAATAATTATAAAGACAATTCAAGCAGGATGAGTAATTGCAAAAAGTTTTGACATTCTAAGAAACAGCTTGAGCATTCTACAATTAGTCTGATGATCCAACAGATCATTTTCAAATCTGTATCTAATTCAATTTTTAGATAATAATAAACGATTTATTAAGACCATATATGTGAATACACAACAAGTAAGAATTTAAGAGTTTAAAGCCTATAACAGTCGAAGAAGAGTATTAATTAAATTTTTAGATATTTCAAAATCGGTCTTTCCATGATATACAATACAAAAATACACAATAAGCGGGTAACAATTTAAATCGCGTTTCAATAATGCAAATGCAATCGAAAACAGTCGTGATTTGTCGAATTATACGACCAGTATTGTCAAAAAAAAGATATGAGACAAGACGGATGATTATGTGCCAGCAGACGGATTTCTCGCGTGTCTATGATCTTCTTTGTGACACCACTGATATTTTTCGCGCGTGATGAGCATGTATCGTAGCACTTGTGCGTGCGTATATATTATCAGTCTCGACCGAGACAGATTGACTATCGG